TATTAATAATAATTATTACTACGTATGTAATATATACATATATATGTATATGTATATATATATATATATATATATGTGTGTGTGTGAACGTGAATATGTGCTCAGATGATGTTCTACAAAATCTGATTATGTATCCTCTAAATTATGGATTTAAAGGAAAAAAAAAAAAAAAGAAGAAAGAAAAATGATAATAATACAAATACTTTGATTATGAAATGTTACATGGATTATTACATTAGATATTTCCTGTAGAAATATCTACAACGTTTGAATAGATCGTAGATAAAATTGAATCTTATTCTTTTACTTTTTCTTTCTTTTTTCTTTTTTTTCTTTTTTTCTTTTTTTTCCATACAACAAATTATGAAAGTTAATATTCTGACGATATATCGTCATATCAATCACGTCGAAAATTAAATAATTCTTCAATGTGTAATTATTTCCAATAATTTGATTCTAATTAACCCTTAAAAAAAAAGAGAGATAAATACATATATATATATATATATATATATATATATATATATATATATATATATATATACATAATTCAATGTTAAATATCAATAATTATTATTACGACTTAATAATATAAACAATTTTTAAATTAACGATTCCAATAATTCTAATAATGAGAATGCTTTTGAAATAATCCAAAGAAAAAAAAAAAAGAAAAAAAAAAAAAAGAAAAAAGAAAAAGAATTAAAATTAAACGAATGTAAAGAAAAGAAATAAATAAAAAAAAATAAATAAATAAATAAATAAATAATCAGAAGATAGATAAAAATCTAATCATTATCATAGACGCGAATTAATATAACATGATTAATAAGTACAATACGTAAGGGAATGAACAATTCTATAAGGAGATACCATTAGATATTGTTTTACGCAACGTTCGTACGTCACGTTAAATTATTATCTCACAGATTTATATAACTAATGCTCGTAGTACCGTGTATAAATATATATATATATATATATATATATATATATATATATATGTATATATATATATATATACTTACGTATGTACGCTTTATATAACAAAATGTTTTTAGATTATCATATTGTCGATTTTCATTTATCTTCAACCAGGAATACAAAAAAAAGAAAGAACAGAAAAAAAATATAATAAAAAAGGAAGGAAAAAAATGAAAAGAAGAAAAAAAAGGAGGGAAGAAAAGAAAAAAAACACGCGGGTAAACACACACACACACATACAAAACTGACAAACAGGTACGCACGTACTTAAAATAATAACAAGAATAAATTAAATATAATTGAGAAACTTAGTTAAAAAGATTTAACGAAAACAAGACAAGACAAAACAAAACAAAACAAAACAAAACAAAATAAAACAAAACAAAACTAAATTAAACTAAATTAAACAAAATATAAAGAAAATGAAAGAAAGAAAGTCGAAGAAGAGAAACGGGAGATGATTGACGAATGTTAAAAAAAAAAAAAAAAGAAAAAAAACAAGAAAATGAAAAAGGAAAAAACAAGAGAAGGAGAATGTGACCAGATCTTTATAGGAAAGAAAGGAACAAAAAATTAAAAAGATCGGAAGTGATGATCGACGATCAAGCCTTCACAAGACTTTGAGATCAAATCGATCATTTTATAAATTTTCATAGAGGTTTTACTAGTCAGAGAGAGAAAGAGACAGAGAGTGATATGAAAATAGAGAAGAGTGACGTTTATATATATACACATATGTATACACAAACATATTTATATATACATACATATATATATATATATATATATATATATATATATATATATATACGTCAGAGTTTAGACTATTTTAGAATTGAAAGCACAACGACGAAGGCTTTTCGTGCACAATTCTCTTCAGGAAAAGCTCACTCACTCACTTTATCTCTCTCTCTCTCTCTCTCTCTATCTATCTATCTATCTACCTCTCTCTCTCGCTTGGTTTTGCTAGCAGTGGGGACTTCCCCGGGCCGAGCGAATTGGTCTCCATGGAAACCACCCTAAAGCCAATCCGGGGTGCATTCGTACGGACATTTACCCCTGTCGAGGCGCGTCTGCAACTACCACCCTTTCCATACCCCACTTCAACCCCTATCCCTCTTTCTCTCTCTCTCTGTCTCTCTCTCTCTGTCTCTCTTTAGTCTTCTCTTCTATATTCCTGCAGCATTCTCACCCTTCTCTCTCTCTGCTTCTTCTTCCAACTTTCATTCTCTTTCTTTCTCTCTATCTCTCACACATTCATTCTCTCTCTCTCTCTCTCTCTCTTACTGTCTGTCTGTATTTCTATCTCTCTCTTTATCGTTGATTTTACCCTCTCCGTCTGAACGGCACTGCTGGCGAGCGCCTGGCACCATGCAACCCCGCAGACACTGTTGCGTGCCCGATTGCCCAGGACCGAACGTTTAATCCTGAGTACCCTTAGTCATTGATCTCATATATATTTCACTTTATCTTTTTAACAATCCTATTTATTATTATTGACGATGGCAAAAAATGTTTTCTTTCTTTCTTTCTTTCTTTATCTTGTTTTTTTTTTTTTCTGTAGGAGTAAAATCAATCTCCAGACGTCCTTTTTTCTCTCTCAATTTTTTTTTTTTTTTTTTTTTTTTTTTTTTTTTTTTTTTTTTTTTTTTTTTTTATTGACTATCCCCCTTCACTTATAATTCCATTAACTTTCCGTACGGTATTAGAATTTTATTCTTTTTTTTATCGATCTTGACGTCGTCATTGGTCAAAGAAGAATGTTTACATTTGTTTGTATTTAATAAGATGAGATGTTTCTTTCTTTCTCTTTTCTTTTTTTTGTTTTTGCTTTTGTTTCTTTTTTATCTTTCTTCTCTTCTTTCGAATTAATATTACTTGAGAAAAGAAAAAATTTCACGTTTATAAATGTAATATTTATTTAAGCCATACGTTTATGTTCTTTTATTAGAATTTTAATAATGATATATATATATATATATGTAACAATCGACGAGTAAAATGAATTTCTTTTTCTTTGAAATTCATTCGTCTATTTATATATTAAATATAGTAAATATAAATATTTATAAATGTAATATTTAATTAAACGATAAACGTTTATTAATGTTAAAATTTTAATAATTATAGAGATGTATTAATCGAAGAGAAAATTAATTTCTTTAATTTCTCTCCCCTTTTTTTTCGAAATTTCTTCACCGATCGACGCATTGTTATTCGACATATTAAAAAAAGAATATTTACGTATATATATTTCATATAAACGATATGATATTTAATAATATATACATATACATATATATATATATATATATATATATATATATATATATATATATATATATAAAAATTTGAGTTTTGCTTGAGGCATGATCTTATCGTTATATCCTTATTTCGATAAGGTAAACTCTCAGTCGAGTAGAAATCCGAGGATGAGATGATAGAAGAAGGGGTGATCGTGCAGCCCCCTTAACGAAAACTTCGATAATTAAATCTCTCGTGAGGCCGGGAATAGGGAGAGGGAGGAGGGTAGTGAATGGTGGTAGGCAGGGGGGTATGGAGGAGGAGGAAGAGGAGGAAAAGAGAAGGAGAAAAGCTAGGATGAACATTTTCCTTTGTGCTCTTGTCGCTAACATGCGATCGAAGAAGGAACATCGAAGCTTTCCTATACTCCTTTCTTCCTTTTCGAGAGAATCACCACCCTCTTCGTTCTTTTATATATACACATACATAATATATATATATATATTTGATCCTTTCTTTTGAGCTCTAACAGTCATAATGTTATGGTCGATAGAGAATGTCGAATCTCGTTTCTCCTATAATCTTTATTCCCGAAATATCAAATTCTCATTATTATTTCGTACATACGTCATTTATTTAACAAAATGATATCCTCCGCCCCCCCACCCCATTATATGTTAAATCTTCTATTACGTATTATATTCAACTATCATTATTATTATCATTATTATTAGGATCATCTCGCGTTTTTTGTTTTTCTTTACTTTTTCATATTTTTTTTCTTTTTCTTTTTTCTTTTTTTGTTTCTATTATTTCTCTCTTTGTTTCTAAATAAAAAGAAAAAAAAAAAAAAAAAATCGGACGATAAAGGATTTTCTCGTCGATTAGAATTACTTTCCCTTTTTATTCTATCTTATTTATATATTTTTTTAATTCTTTTTTTTTTCTTCTTTTTGTCCTTTTTTTCTTCGACGAGACGTTCTCTCGTTTCTCTCGTATTTCGTTTTCTTTCTTCTCGCTCAAATTAATTTCTACACACCGCTCTCGAATCATATTTTCGATGGAACGTCGATATTTATGTTTCATGTCTGTTATCGTTTTTTTTCTTTTCTTTTTTTTTCCTTTTTTTTTTTTTTTTTTTATCCTCGCAGAAAAATACAGTGCAATCTTTTTTTTTTCTTTTTTTCCTTTTTTCTCTTTGTTTATTATAGAATTTTCTCTTCCCTTCCGTTCCTTTTTTATTTTACTTTTTTTTTCTTCCCTTTTTATATATATATATATATCTTCCGTCCCTTACACGTGGCTAATGAGAGTGTCATCTTCTTTTTTTCTTTTATGGGAAAAAAGAAAAAAAAAAAAAAAAAAAAAAAAGAAAAAAAAAAGGAAATTTCTTTTACATTTTCACAAGAAATTCTTTCATCTATTCGAGAGATTCAAAAAAAATTCTTTCCTTTTCTTTTTCCATTTTTTCTTTTCTCTTTTGACTTTTTTCTTCTTTTTCTCTCTTTTTCTTTTTTACGTTCATTCGAGTCAACGATCAAAGCTTGAAATAACGTTCGTTAGGATTAACGTTTAATGAAATGAATTCATTTTCAATAATACGGACGTGGTAATCGATAACGGGAAATGGACCACATAAAGGGTGTCCAATTTCAAATGATTTGCATATATAAACATTCAATATAAACGATGGGATGAATTATCAAATGATATATATATATATATATATACACGTGTCGATGATCTCTAAATGATCCTTGATATTATCATTA